CAGATGTTCACGGAAGCCAATTTTCCGAAGAAGTCTCTGTGTATCCAGGGTGCATTTAAATGCGGGCGCAACATGTACTGCCATTTGCTTTCTTGGACCCACACCGAGGAAGTGGGAAGCCTGATCTCGATCGGAAGCGCACAGAACAGCCAGTAATTGTTGGATCTCTTCCAATAATGAAGCGCTGGTTCAAAGAAAGCATGTTGTCCCCGCAGGAGTTGTAGATATTTGCGGCAGCGGGAATGCTCCCTGCGTAGAACATCCTGATCTGTACCTCCAATGTAGTTTGGGCTATGCCATGGCGAAAGCCTGATGTAGACGCAAGACTGCTGATGATGTCCCGGATCTTGAATGAAGCCATACAGGTCTGGAAGGCGAGAACGTAGCGATTTGAGGTGCCTCATATCAGCGAAAGTGGAGTGCATGACTTCACAAAGCAGTGACGTCTTGTAGAAGTGAAGGACTTCAAAGAACGGAGGTATGTGCCCATGGTCCTGTGAAATGAGTCGCTGTAAAAAGCAAATCAGGAGATACGATGTGATCCGGCATCTGTGGATCTCATACCTATTGGCCACCGCGTGTCGGGTTTGTGACATGGCAGTCGTCGGAATCTGAAGCGCAATGCGAACCAGGGTGAGCACCTCCAGAATGAGACTCATCAGGAGGTGCTGTTGGTAGTGCACTGTCACTGACGGGCTCAATGAGATCAGCATCTTCTGCTAGATTGGTAGACGTGGCTACCAGCGAAATAGGCATCGGTGTGAAGGATGTTCTCGTTGCCGGTGCTTTTGGAGATGTCGGTGCAGGTGTCAAAGGTGGTGTCAGCGGCGGGAGTACCTCGGGCGCCGTCGGTGCTGGAGGTACCACAGCAAGAACAGCAGGTGCAGCAGGAGGAAGTGGTGGTTGTGGATGCCGTTGGTGTCCTTCAAGACGTTGTACTCCAGCCACTAGTATACTGATCTGCGACGAGATGGAGTAGTAGGTAACGACATTCTCGTAAAATGTCACCATGATCCATGACGGTTGGGGAACCGGCCGGCAATGGTTCTGTGACTTGAGCAGGTGTAAACCACAAACTACAGAGGCATCATGACCCACAAGCAAGCAAACATGCAAACCTTACAGCTACAAACATGTACACAATCACACAAGTGCGCCAAGGAGCAACAAAGAGACCAAAAGCGCACAACGGTTCCACATGCTCATTTTGGTGCAACTCGTCGCCGGACATCTCGTAGGAGGTCAGAGTTGAAGCCTTTGGCTTCATAAAGACGTTTGAGAGCATCAAGGCCAACTTGTTGTTGGATTGCTGGTTGAGCTCCACGCACAATGAGCCACGATCTAGATGACCACGAGGAGTAAGTAAACATCTGATCATTGGCACTTCGAAAACCATTGATCTGAGAAGGATGATCGGGCAGCTGTGGTGTGATAGTCCTGGAGGCTGAATCACACATGTAACCAAGCACTTTGGTGTCATTTTGCGTCTCCAGCATGACTGGAGGACGATAAAATTCCAGTGACAGAAAGTTCCGAAGGACTGCTGTCGAAGGCGCTGCATCCCGCAAAAGTATGAAGCGATTGTTGACATAGCGCTCGTGCCAGATCACACCAAAGTCTGGCATTTGAAACCTAAGCGTATCCATGGTCTGATGCCAGAAATAGTCCTCAACCGTAGCAACGAGATTGCACAGAGGGGGAGCAGCTGGGGATCCCATGGCAACGCCTCGTTCCTGCCTGAACAAGTAGCCCTTGATCTCGAAGTGACTGTTGTCAATGACGAAGTCGAGGAGACACTGGAGGTCTTCTTCGCAAAAAGTCCGGGGAACTTTTGTCTGACGGCGCCATTTTCCTTTAAACATGCGACGCCGATGATCAGACTTCACTTCATAGACCGACCAGTGTGATGTGTTGCGTAGACAACGCAATGGAACAACCACCATGCGCAACAGACAACACACACACAAGCAAGCAAGATGACACGAAAGAACCATTTTGCCCAATGGTCGAAACTCGTCAGTCTACTCAGCAACTAGTTCAAAGATGGGCTTCTCCTTGACGTCAGAGCTGCTGGGGCGGCTTGCGGGCAGATAAGGATCAGCGACTCCAGTAGATTCAGGAGGATCAGCGCCCCGAGAAGTACGCACTGGTTGATGCGGCCGCGATGTTTGACGCGTGCGATCCGCCAGCTGCTGGCAGATCCCTGCCTGCAGACGAGTGAGATCCTCAGTAGAGAAAGCCGACGCATCCTGCGGAGACATGCACAGAGTCGATGACTGTGTGGCCACGCTGTGCTGATCAGGGGAAAAAGTCGAAGCGAAGTAGTTGTCTGGTTCAGGAGCCGCGACATCCAGTCCCGTTTGTACCAAGTAGGAACCTGGCGAGGTCACCCGTTTCCACACTCGAAAAGTGTTCTCTGGCAGGTCAGGTACATCATCATCCTGGCGCCATAGTTGAGGTTGTCCAGGAATGTAGATCCGCACCCACTCTCGTCATGCTGAATATCACGAAAAGTCAACTGCCACAAACCGCATATTGTTGCTGCATAAGAATCATCGCGTCAGCGCCTGACCGGCAGGGCTGTGATGCAGGAAACAGTCACCAGAACATCCCCACATAGCTGGGAACCGCAATGGATGATCGAAGCTTCCACCTGCCATCTTTGGTGTGAATTTGTCATAGTAGTGGGAAGCGGCAATGTCTGCATACGTGCCACCGCGTGGAATCACGCAGTGATGCTGGCGCAAGCGTGCCATTCCTCCGATGCAGAGGGGACGCGGGGAGTGGGCCCCGGCAAACTGGGCGGCAGACTTCACAGCGGCTTCATTGGAAATGAGGCTCCCTCTGCAATAGAAGCCCGTCGGCGGAATCCACACATCGTTCCAGTTGGTGTACTCGTGGTTGGGAGGTGGATGCTTCTGCCATTTCGAAGGTCGGATGAGCTCCTCATCTTTCAAGATGCCGATGGCGGAATTGATGTCGGTGTTGTGCGCCCAAAAGAACGGTGAGATCGACTGAGAGCGAAGGTTATCCGGTAGCTTGCGGCGCGGCTCAAAGGAGAAGATGATCCCATATTGATTGTTCCGAGAATCCTTTTTGCCGGGCTGGAAACGGTAGTATGTCTTCGGGGTCTTCTGGATGTACGGCCAGCACTTCTCCATGACGCCCAACTGAACAATGAGTTGCTCAGGCAAATTGTCCACAGCAATGTCAAACTCCCGGGAGATCTCACGGATGACCTCCGCGGTCCAAGCACCTGGGTTGCCGTGCGGGAGTCTCATTGCTGTCAGCTCCGAGACAGATCTCACTCTGTGCTCATCCTGGATGATATTCTCACGGTGCGGCATGAGGCTCCGGTACACTGTCTCCCAGGATTGCTTCCATTTGGATGGGTCCGGATAGACCAACTCCGCAATGCAAGGAAGGGTGTAGAACAAAACATCGTTGATGCGTATGGCAATTTCTTCAACCTGACTGCCCGAGCGAAGCACGAAGTGATGGCTGCCCAGTGATGGTGCCGAAGTGCGAACACGAAGCTGAAAGAGGTCAACCGTGTGCGTCGGGTGGTCGGTCCTGCTGTTCGAAGCGGCAGCATGGCGTCCTGGTGGCGCTGATGGCGACCGAGGTCGCCTACGGTCCTCATGACTCCGGCGACCACTATGTGTCCATTCACCCCAGTCATCATCATCCTCGGATTTGCCATGAGGCCCAGGGGTGAGCCTAACCCGAGATCGGCGAGGCACTGGGGAGCGTGAGCGCATGTCTGTTGTCCGGTACGGTGCGCGAGGAGCTGTGGCTCTGAACATTCCGCAGATGCACCATGCCGTGCGTTTGTACGAAAAGCTGCGCCTCATTGCCGTTGATGAAGCTAGGGAACTGGTCCAAGGTAACCTGACTGGTAGTCTGGACCGTCCCATCCGGGCGCAACAGGCTGCCCACCGTGTAAACCGCATGAGGTGACCGTCTGGTTAAGTTGAATCTGCAACGTCAAGCTGAAGGGGATGCACTGACGCCATGCCAATAGAAAAGAGAACACCGACAAGCAAACAACCACAGAGTCCGAGCCTTTCAGTCCACATGATGCATCTCTGGTCAATTGGTGCTACGCAGGTTGCGAAGGAAGTCCTTGTGCGTTGCCAGGAGGTGCCATCATCGTCTTCACTCAAGAGCCGTGTCAACTTAACCTCGAGAAAATCGAATCCGACAAGATGCAAGTCAACGCAAGTTCATGCCAAGCTCAAGTCAATACAAGGCCAAACGTCACACGGTCAGCACACAGTATCAGAGCTGGTGAAACTTAGCTATGAACTGACGGCTGTCTTCCCTGTAGTGAAACAAACCTCGTTCCTGCTTAAACGTGAAATTCCGCTGGACTATGATATGAACGTTGAGGTCAAATTTTCCGGCGAACCGGCCCGGGGTCACACGATGGGTACACCCGAGTTCCCCCAAGATGGGGTGATCACACTTCAACTCCCAAGGGAGGATGCTAATCTTTCGAGTACAGCTGATGAGTCTCGAGTACAACTGATGAGTCTCGAGTGGGGTAAGTTTCGACTCGCAAAGCACGCGGTTTCCCTCTAGAGGCGAAAACGTTACAAATTCAACATGAAGCGCACACAGCGAGAGAAGCAAAGGGCCAAAAGGACTTTGAATCGCACGAGTTGCGCAGGTACGCGGAGTTGATCAGACTCCGTATCCTAGGAGCTTGCAACGAGCTTCGTTGGGCAGAGCTTTGCAAGTCCTCTCTGCCCCCCTGCGCTCTATTGTGGTGACAGGGTATTCTGCCACTCCGCACACACACACACATACATATGTGTATATATATATATATATGCATATGTATATATATACATACATATACATATACATATACATATACGTATACATCTACATATACATATATATATATATTCATACATGTATCAAACTTGATTTTGAGGAACCTAAATCAGTCCACTTAGGTTCTGTTGGGGTTTTGGAGGGGGGGTTCCCTTCAGGTGCTGCCGCAGCTTTGCGGGAACTCTAGCGTCACCGTGGCCCAGGCGGGTCGAGCGGATCGGGCGGAGCGTTTTTTGAGGGGTTGAGTCGGTTTTTCCATGCTTTTCAACGATCCTTCTTGTCAAGAACCAATCGCTGATTCCCCAGATTTTTGGGTGGTTTTCTAGAAAGAAGGATGCCTGGAAAGAATGGTTGGAAGCTACCCCTAGAAACCTCTTATGGTATCCTTCAAGGGAATTTCTCAAACCGCTGCATTCGAATCCAACACCTGGCCCGTGGTTTTGGGGGTGGTCTTCTGAGGGGACCTGTTTGGTCGTTTGAGGCACGGCCTTCCGGCCCTGAAGGTGTGGAAACGGGGAAGAAACAAATGGACCTGGTTCGTTTCGTTTTTTTTTGTTCTTTTTTTCTTCTTCTTTTTTTCTTCTTCTTCTCTTCTTCTTATCTTTTTATCCTTCATTTTTTTTTTAAAAAAAAGTCTTCTTCTTTTTTTATTCCTTCTTTTTTTTTTCCCTTTTTTTTCCTGGGGGGGTGAGCCAAAAGGACAACCGCCTTTTTCTTTTCTTGGGGAGGGGGGGGGGGTGGAGAGAGGGGGGTGGGAAGGATCAAGATGGTGCCTCCTATCGGAAGGTCGGGGGGTGGTAGCCCCTTTTTTTAAAACTACATCTCCTTCTGGCGGGAAGGGAGTACATGCTTAGTAAACTCTTCAGCCGGGGCCCAAGACCTCATCATCCTTTGGGGTCTCGGACTCCTAGGAATATTTCGAAGATGCTTGCGGGTTGCTTAAAGAAACTTGGCCGTGGCTGTGAAAGTAACTTGTTCTTCTCGGCAACCCTCAGTTCCGTTTGCGAATTGGCATGATTCATGCGGATGTATGTGCTTGGATTAAAAGACCATTGCCCATGTTTGGATGGCGTACAGGGGAAACCAAGTGGCCCTTTTTGGGTGGCTTTCAAGGGGAAAGGGGTTGAGGCACTAGATACAGAAAGATACTGCCACGGTCTTTTTGATTTTTGTGGTTGGCATGGATGGCTATGAACCCCTTTGACAAGGTTTCGTGGCCATCTGGCCATGAGGAGTTCTCACGATATGAGGTTCGGTCAACATGTGGTGTGACCTCTCGTGCTTGCGCACCAGGGCTACTGCAGCGAGGAGCAGCGCGAGGAGATTTCAAACAGATTTTGCGGGTGCCTTGAGCAACAGAGACTCTGAAGTTGCTGGGAGCTTCTGCTGACAAAGGTGGATAATTCCACATGCAGGAGGATTGAGGCAGTATATGCCTCCTTAGCAGGTTGTGTGTTTCACCTTCTGATCTCCAACAAAGCAATTCAAAATCGCTAAACTCGTCAATGGCGTGGAAATTCCAATTGGTATCACAGAAAGGCTGGCTTCCGACAAGCATGTTGAGACCAATCCTGACAGTTGATTTGGGCGCGTCTTTTTTTGAGTTTTTGTGTGGTTTGAAAGGGAAGCCAAAAGGAAAACCACCATTGTTTTGGGGGGTCTTCTCAGTCAGACCCTCCCCTTGCTTTTTGAGGGTGCCCTGTTGGAAGGGAAGCCAAAGGCAAGAGTGTTTGATACCCCAACTTCTGTTGAGACCCCCAGAGACACCCTGCGCCGAGGTTCTTTGGGGAGAAACCAGGGTTGTGCCAATGTCTCTGTGAAATCTTGCCTAAACACCCACTTCACTGTTTGAACATCCTGGGTATGGTTGTTGCGAGCCATGATTGCAATTTTTTGTGATACCAAGACCGTTTTGGTTTAAAGCGATGGAGACACATGGGACATCCAGCGCTGCGGAACCACACCCGGTGAGTTCCATTGCCGCTTGGGCCAGCCGCCGAAGCGGGAACTCTTTTACCATGGTTTGGGCTCACATTTTTAGGAACCACTGTTGGGTTTTCGTTTTCCCAAAGTAGACTTAAACACCCATTTCTTGACCCCTGTGTTTGCGGGCCTAGGCTTCAACAAACTGACAGGAGCATTTTGGTAATGACCTGTATTAATCAACCCGAGTTTATGAATGCCGGGGGGGGGGTCCCTGGGTTTCGTGGGGAATGAAGCCACTTTTGGAGGGGAACACCCCCTATTAATAAACGGGGGTTGATCCAAAAGGGGTCAACATTGCCGATCTGTTTTGACTATGACTCACTTGGACATGCTAGTCGTCCACAGACCATCATGAGAGCGGTTTCTTTTTGGTTTCCTGCAAAAAGGCCGCACAACAAGCTGGGGCATCGTGTTTCTGTTTGTGGGGGCTAAAGTCAGCCACCTTTCTGATTGTCTCCCTTTTACCTACCACTTGCAGGGTGACTTTGATGGTGAAATGGGGGGGTCCAAAAATGGGTTGCGAAATGGACAAGTAGACGAACATCTGCGCCACACCCAATGAGCCAACAAGTCAGCTGCGAGCCTCAGACCCATTCCAGTCGCAACAAGCATAGGGGTCTGTGATTTGTTTTTGGGGCCCCCCATTTGCCTCTTGGTTTTCCTTTGAACTTATCGGAGCTGGGGCAAAAAGAAGACAGGAGCATTTGGTGGCCAAGCGCCTGAAGAGTGAGCTGCGGAAGGTCTGGGGGGGCACCCTCTACATGCCCGAGGATCCGGTGAGAAACGGGTCGGTTCAACCCGCCATCGGGTTCTGGAGCGATTTTTGGATCTTTTTGGTTGGTCTAGGGGTTTTTCGAGTTGATCTTTTAGATCTTTTTAGTTGGTTTAGTGGTTGGGTGTCCGAATTTCACCCGCCACAAGCTTCAAGCTTTTAGCAGGTGATCAGTTTGGACAGCCCAGTTGCGAGGGTTCCCAATAAGAGTGGCCCCACCTGTAGCTTTCCCGATGGACAATGGGGTCCCCGGAGAAAAGCTTCTGGGGTGCTATGGGCATGGCTGAAAATAGTGGTTTCCTAAAAACGAGCTGTTTCCTGTTTGTGTCCCTGTGAACAACAAGAGATGCACAAGTCCCAACGGACCCGCAGGGTCACAACAAGACAGGTTACAAAAGGAGTCTGGATTGCTTCCGAACATTTTCAGGTTTGTCAGCATCACTTGTAGGACTGATTTCCCTTTAAACCACTGTTCGGAGGGTAAATTTGATGTCACTTGAGTGAACTCTGTACAGGAATCCTTTCTGGAAGTTGCATACTTATTGTTTGACAGGTACCATGTTGGCAGTTCCATGTTGCCATAGAGGTTCCCTTATTTTGTTGGTTTCATGCGTGAGCAACTCGGCCCATGGTTGGCTTTCCCAAATTGTTTGTTTTTGTGTTCACCAAGTTGAGAGTTTGCGTTGCAAGTTGTGTATCGTTTGCAGTTTATGCTGGCTCTTCAGGACGGATTACTTCGTCAGTTTTTATTGGAAGACATGGAGTTTCATTGTGATGGTCTTCATACTGTTCTAAGCATTGACACGGCTGGGGGGGTCCACTTTTCAGAGGGAGGGCGAAGACACAATTGCGAAGACGAAATTCGGAACGGCAAATAGTCGAAGCCGAAAATGGTGCGAAGCCGAAAATGGGAGCGAAGACGAAATTCGAAGCCGAAATTTGCGAAGCCGAAAATGGGGGCGAAGCCGAAAATGGGAGCGAAGACACAATTCGAAGCCGAAATTCGCGAAGCCGAAAATGGGGGGAGCGAAGACGAAATTCGAAGCCGAAAATGGGAGCGAAGACGAAATTCGAAGCCGAAATTTGCGAAGCCGAAAATGGGGGCGAAGCCGAAAATGGGAGCGAAGACACAATTCGAAGCCGAAATTCGCGAAGCCGAAAATGGGGGGAGCGAAGACGAAATTCGAAGCCGAAAATGGAGCGAGGACGAAACTCGAAGCCGAGAGAAAGATCGCCTAGAGACAAGCCGAGAAGCCGAAATAATCGAAAAGCACGGGTGAACGAGAGTGCCGTGCGCGACGGCGGAAACGATAAGAGAGGTCTGCAAAACCAAAGTGCCGTCCGGGGGAGTGAAACAGGAGGCAGACACCGCTTTTCTAGGGTCCAGCACGCCACGCATAGTCGGCGAAAGTTAGAATCGCTGACATTGAGCAATGTCACAAAGGGGACTCCTCTATTTGAAGGACACGCGCTTCTGACTGTGAAGTTGTTGAAGCATGTTGAAGCGGAGAAGGCGAAAACGGGGCTGCTTCTTTGAAAAGCAAGAGCGCGCATGATGCAAACGCGCGGATGGCAAGTCTCAACGAGGGACCTCGATTCGTGGGCGGCTACAGGAGAATCAAAGCAAACAAATCGTTTATAGAGGGCCGTGCTTAGGATTTGTGGGGCTTCTAATTTGGCTGAGCGGAAAGGCGAGACTCGTCGCTGAGCATTCAGAAAGGGAGCTCCACTTGATCAAGATGGCAATTGGAGGGTCAAATGTTTCTCACTCTGACGTTTTCGCCCACAGGCAGGGTAGGCCACCGAAGGGTAGGATTTGCGGGATTGGGAGTGCCAGACCAAATTTAGGCGTCAGGAGCTTCAGAGGCGTCAGGCCAAATTTGAGCGCCACGCCCATTTTAAGCGCCGCGCCCATTTAGAGCGTCAGGCTGCGGCTCGTCGCCGAATATAGGCGTCGCCAATTTGAGCGTCAGCAGCTTCAGAGGCGCCGGCAGAATTGAAGCGTTAGCAGATTTTGAGCGTCATCTAGCAGCAGGCTCGGCCGATTAAGAGCTTCAAATTTTGGCGTCGAAGACCAAATTGAAATTGGGACCCAGTTTGCCGTGTTTCTAAGCATAAACAGCACCCTGATTGGTTCTTGGTGGATGTCCCATGTAAGAGGTTTCTTCACTTTGAGGGCGCACCCTCCTATTAATCCACCAGATGAATAATTCCGGAATACAGCTAAGTCCTGCATGTCACCAAAACATACGAGGGTTCATAGCATACACCAGTCAATTCTCAGGGAAATCCGCGCATGCTTGGCTTACGTCGTTTTATGGGCGGGGCTTCCGTGGATGTCAATGTGGGCTTGCGGTTGCGGCGAGGTCCATAAACGAGTTGCTCTTGGCCTAGGCTTCTCTCTCAACGAAACATGAGGCTTCTAATATTGGTTCCCTTCACGCAAAGATTTGTCGGGTTTCCCCAGGCTTACACTTTGGGCACTCATGCTGTTCGTCCCTTTAAGCAACAAAGTCCCAGCAGGGACCCGGGACTCGGTCCTGCTAGCTTACCTTTCGCGTCGACATCTCTGAAAGGAGGGGCATCCTGAAAAGACATCAATATGACCATTCCGAAGGCATAGGAGGCACCAGTGCAACGATACCGTGCTAAACAGCGGCTGGTTCTTGGAGTGCATATGGATGGCCCGGTGCGTGTAAAGCTCTCTTTCACTTGTCAGTTGCCAAGGCGTTCAGCCTTTGTGTGTGGCTTGGCTGCTGAGGGGATGGACATGACCCCTTTGTTCAGCTTCCATTTGCCTTAAGATTGTTTTTGTATTTTCCCTTGTTGGTTTAAAGGGAGTCTATTTCACAACTGGCCATATTTTTATTCTTTCCACAAATGGAAGCTAGGGTTTGCCGAGATGCTTCAAAAGAGGGTTTCCCTAGTTTCCCACCAAGGCACCGAGGGTTTTGCACTGGTGGTGGTGGCTCCAATTCCCTCAAGACACGAGCGCTCATGGCAGGGAGTGTCTTGGAGTACTAAATTCGTTCACTAAAATGGCCGAAGGTTTTTTGTTCCTTAGTTTGCACTAACCACCAAAAGAGACACATCCATACCAGTGGAGCTCATCTATTTCTCCCAAAGGACAGGGAGACATCCGTCCCCTAAAATGGCCGAAGGTTTTTTGTTCCTTAGTTTCCACTAGCCAACAGAGCACCACGCCTCATTGCTTGACACAGCAGTGGAACCCATCAATTTCTCCCAAAGGACCTGGGGAAATCCTCATCCATTCCCATGGTTGCGCTCGAACGTTTCCTCCACGAAGGAGTTTGTTTTGGGTGGGTTCCAGGTGAACTTTTGGGGTATTTGGTGTCTTTCTTCTTGACTTAAAACATGTGGGGCAGCCTCTACCGTCCTTTCAAGGGGGGGGAAGGGTGGTCTTCCTCTTGGTTTCTCTTCAAACCAGCCGCAAAAACAGGGGAACACTGAACCACTCACACCGGGGGCAATGCGTGCGGGGGCTTCGATGTTCCCAGGAGTGCGGCCAGAATCCTGCCAGCACGCCCTTGATGTTTACCTCCTTCAAGAACAAGGCGTGCTGGAATGCTGCGAAGGGCAACGCCACGAAACTGATGGAATATCAATGGGCTCGCTTCCGCATTCCCTGAGAACCAGCAAGTCCTGGTTGAATCAACCATTCTTCGAATGATTTTCCACGAGCTTCCCATGGCAAACAGACGTTTCCCCAAGTTTCCCAACCAACTCAACAAAGGGAATCAACTCCAAAAGCAAACCCCAACAAGGGTACCGACTGAAAAGAGGCAGACCCCCGACTGGGTCTGTCTGTTTCTGAGTGTACCTGTTTTTTGGCAGGTCCTTTTTTTTTTGTGCTGGTGCCTGGTTTTCTGGAAAATCGTTCGAAGAAGGGTTGATTCAACCTGGGGTTGGGAAAACTTGGAGAAACGTCTGTTTGCCATGGGAAACTCGTGGTGAATTTCGCCTGGAAGGTCAACAGGACACCCGCCCTCCTCGTGAGGCTGAGGGTCGGGGCCAGATCCGGCCCCCACTGCCGGCGCCCCGCACGCTGCCGCCGCTGCCGTCCGACGCGCCCAAAGAGGCGCTCAGCGACTCGTCAAAAGGCGAGAAAAGCCGGGCTGTCATCCTCGTTGGTTTTACATGGAGTTTCAGAAGACCGCTTTTTTTTGTTCTTTTCTGGTTTTAAAGAGGATATGAATCACTACTGGACATTATCATTTTTCCTTACCAGTCGAAAATGCAAATGGCATTCCAGGATGGCCTTGCACTCCGGCAGACCCACTCAGTCTTCAATGACAAACTGACCTGGGGCGTACCTGGAGGAGGAGTCCCACTTTTTGGTCTAGCAATATCTGGATTTGTAGTCTCAACATCACTTGGGCCAAATTTGGATTAGGGTTCTCGGGGCGATAGAGAACCGGTGACATGCAGGAAGCCCTGATATTTATTCAGTGATTCGTACTTGTTCTTTTTTTTCCGTTACTCCTTAGGTCACCCGTAGTTGGTGGTTTCGGAGGTAGCGGTCCGAAACTCCTCGTGGATAGATTGTGTGTAAATGGATATGGCTCAAAATGAAGCCACCAGTATATGGACCGCAGGTATGAGTCATTGTTTCCATTTACCAGGTTCCATTTAGGGTACCTATTTTTGACCCACAGCCAAATCACATGCAGACAATCGAGCACTGTGCACTTCTTGGCTATTGTGAGCTCGACACTTCGGCAGTCGGCATGCTGCGAACTAGAAGCGGTTTGGCACCACAACCCACTCGAGTCACGTATCCCTATCCTTATAGCTCCAGGTCATGGCAGAACATGGCCTGAATCACAGAAACGATCAACAAAAGCATTGTTTTTCTGACCAACTATCAAAGTTACTGATTTGGATTTGAACCCCATAGAGGGTGAATGGGAAACGCCTCCTTACCCACCAAGGGCTCCAAACAACCACCTGGAGGGACGCTGAAACTGGGCTTGAAAGGGTCGATCCTTTTGGAGTTGGATGGCTACCCTACCTTCAATGGAAGCTGACGATCCGAGTTCTGGATTGGACAGAGGGTGCCTGGATCTACAGGCGATTCTATTTTTTTGTTTTTCTCCAGCCACTGTGACTTTTTTTTCTCCGTTGAAGTGTCTGAAAAAAAAGGATCGCAACTTGGCTCTCTTGGTATTTACATGAAACCCTACAAACTAATGCACAAGCCACCAATCCCAACAGGTGCAGGATTTCGTGCACCCGCATCACATCATCATGGAAAGTGGGTAATTATTTTGCTCGAACCCTTGGCATGATCCCCTCGTTTTCCTCATGAGCTTCACCATTTTTCGTGGCTCGCGCGGTCGTTCGGGCCGTCTACCCGGCGACGTCGGCAGAGCCGTCGCGACGGGCCGAGGCTTCCTCCCGACTCTGCAGCAGCTGGGGTATGAGGAGGACGAGGTGGAGGAAGCTATGCAAGACGACCCTCGAGGCGCCGGGCAGGTCTTTGAGGGTAGTGGGACCCCCGGATTCGTCAACCCCGGTTTAGGGAAATAGGGGGGTGTTCCGTGTTCCCCTCCAAAAATCATGATTCCCCACTAAACCCAGGGACCCCTCTCTGGGGACACCCCCCCCTATTTATAAGCTGTGTCTTTTTTTGAGGGTACCCCCTTTGTGGTAGGTTTAAAAGAGCAACCGAAGGGACAACCGAAGCCATTGTGGGGTCCCCTCACTGGTGGGCTGGTTTGCTGGTTCCTTGGTGGATAAAGTTGGCAAGTTGCGGGTTGACTTTTGGGGCTGTTTGACATGGACACCAAAAAGAAACCATCTACTTTCCGGAACCCCTGGCGAAGAGGAAATGAGACACGCGTCTGCCAGGGTTTCGACCGTTTTTTTTTTTTTTTTTTTTTTTTTTTTTTTTTAATTTAAGAGTGACCAGGTCAAATTCGGTTGAAACGTAAACGGCACTGCAAAGGAGGTTGGAGGTTGCGTGAACAAGGTTGACCCCGGATTCATAAACCCATTCTTTTTGACTCACCTCCAAAAGTGAAGTTCAATATCCTTTGCGTGTTTCTCGCCATCAACGAGCTTAAGGAATCTGACGTGAGCCTCAGGATGACTGAACGATTTCCTTGGATCTCCCTTGCTTACCCATGGTTATGGAGTCCCCAAGGGTGGTGGTCCAAGAGAACGGGGGGTGCCTGAAGCCTTTTTGAGGAACCCCAAAGAATGAAGCTGAGTAAAGGTCGATCTCAATCATAAATAGCTGCATCCGCCTTCTTCATTCCTTACATTCTGTAGACCAGTTTAGTACCGGGTTTTGAGCAAGTGACTCATGTGTGAAGCACAGCCCAGAAAGGGTCCCCCCGAACAACCCCAAAGAAAGCCTTTCCATTTCAGGCGCGAGTTTCCAATTTTGTGAAACCTCCATAGGGGTTTATCTTAACGTAGGAAGCCCCATCCTTTTGCGAAAAAAGGGCTTCAACAAGAAGATTCACACATGCGACCGTCAAACACTTCCTCCCCGAGCTCCACTTCTTCTTTCTTTCTTGGACCAGTTTCCTGATTTGAACATTGGTCCAGTGGAACCTTTTCGGCCCGCACTCCAGGTGTCCTGCCCTTCGAAGGGGGCGAGGATGCGGCTGCTCGTTTGCGTTGATTTTTCTAAAGGTTCAATTTCCATTTGCTGCAATGAATGTGTGTCCTGGAAGGGGTTTTAAAGGGGATCTCGCACTTCTGGACGTACTTTTTTCTGGACTCAGGCAACAAGCTTGTTTTGCGGCGACTTTCAGGGACCCTGCCCCGTTGAGGCAACATGTCGCCTTTTTTTTTTGCGCCAAGAGCCCAGGTTGGGCTTTTCCAACCCAAACATCGGCATCCATCTCCGTGGGCCTTTGAAGAATGCGTCTCATGTTGTTCTTTGACGGGGCATCAACAAACCCAAACCCCAAAATGGGTGTGGCCCAAAATTGAACGATCGGAGGGGGAAATCCGCAGGTTTTGGTCCATGTTTCCACTTACCAGGGCAACCCATGTTGGAATTCCGGTCTTTTGAGCCACAGCCACGTGTCATTTCTTTGGCAAGCATTTTGCCGACCGGATGTTAAGACTTCCACTTTTTGCCCACCAAGGGGGTTTCTCCGAATTAAGCCACTAAAAGTTATCCACTTTCAGCAGAGCAGATTTCGCCACCGAGAAGCCAAAGGCCGCACAGGGAAAGCAAACCGAGATTTCCCCCTTGGACTTCGGCCGCTTGAAAGTGCTCCTGCGAGAGGTTCTGGGACCTACCACGTTCGCTCGGGCAATGTCGAGGATGCCCTACTGAAATGGGGGTGTCTGTTTTTGGGTCGGACTTGGCCCCCCAAACTGGGGGCGAGTTTCGCCTGTGGCTTTCCTTTAAAACAAGCAACAAGAACAACTCTTCAGCAGTTTAGAAGTTAGCTTCTCAAACTCTCTTAGGCTGTTTTACCATACTGCTCAAAAAAGGGGAATCCACAAAATGGCACCCTGGTAAGTGAAAACAAAGACCACCACCTGCGGTTTGCCCTAGCTCTTGAATTTTGAGTCACATCCATATTTCAGCTCCACAAACCGGCACCACCAAAATGCCCGACACCGGCACCACAAGAAACATGCAAAGATGCCGCAAACTGGCACAAACAAAAACACACACAGACCCACACAGGCGCCGCAAAAAACAAACAAATTAAAACAAATAAAAAAATATGGGAAGCCGCAGACGTCGCCCCAAACTTGGGGCCGAAAGACCTGGATTCTCCGGGCTTCGGCCGCATGTTTTTCGAGCAGACGACCGAGGCCATGGCTCGAGTGCAGAAGTGGATGTTCGAGGACGGAGCTGTCAGCCCGTTGACAAAACGGGTTCCCTGGCATCCGGTTCCTCCGGCATGGTAGGTTTTCCGCCCTCCGGTTGCCCGAGTTGTTTTTTTGTTTAGTCATATGATATTGTTTTTGTTTCAGATCCTTTTGGTTGGTTTAGAGGTTGGGTTTCCGAATTTCACCCACCAGTGAAACTTGTGTTCGCAGGTCGTTTTGGAGAGCCCAGTATGGGCTCTCCCATGTGCTGGGTACCTATACTGGCAATTGGGATCCGCTGAGCACGGGCTCGCACAAAAAAAAGAGCAAACACCCCAATCCACTGAAAAAGCTCCCAGGAATGGGTCGCCTTGTTGTGAGGGTACCCTTTTTCGTGGGTCTTAAACGGACACCAAGAGGAAAGCCGCCATTGTTTGCAGGACGACCACTTGCAGGAGTACTTCGAGATCCGGCGCCTTGCTAGAAACCGGCTTGCTTTTCCGGGCCTGGTGGCTGTGGCTCAAGAAACTGCATCTCAAACCTGCGGTAAAGGGCCTAGCTTTGATTTTGGGCCACAGCCATTTAGGTGTGGCTCAAAATTGAACGATCGGAGGGGCAAACCGCAGGTTTTGGTACCCAGGCTTCCACTTACCAGGGCAACCCATGTTGGAATTCCGGTCTTTTGAATTCGCCACAGCCATTTGGGCCCCGACTTGCTTTGGGTTTGGATTTCTTGTCTGGCGGTTTTCCATTTCGACCCCCTGAAGTAGGCCACGAGCATTGGCGCATGAGATACCCCCAATGAATCGTGGGTGCCCCAAAGAGAATCTCCATGGTCCAGTGGCTCACCTCCTCGAATTTGGGGTCCAACGTTCTTATTCCCATTCGTGTGATCATCATCATCATCATCATGGAAACCCCCAAAATGGGTTGGTTTTCTCTTGGCTTCCTTGAAAGCCACCAAAAAGGGGTACCAACTCCAAGCAAGACGAGCCACCCATTCTCATTGTCGTCATTGTTAATGACCCCCCCAGAGAAAGATAGATGAAAGGAACGTCAAGCACCTAGTTGGGGGGGTTTTCAAAATAGGGATCCCTCCCATAGTTTCTCACAAGAACACCACTTGGAGAAAACCCATCGATGTTTAGAAAGCCTATTTTGAGAACACCCAGCTCTACACCGTAGATGACACAATTCCCGGTAGATGTGGGGGAAGGGGCCAAGTTGGACAAGGAAACTACTTGTACTCGCCATTCACCCAACTGCAAATCTAACTATAAACTATCCATTTTTAGGCGTCTCCTTTTTCAACCCTGACGTATTTGTATACAAGGTAGATCTTAGCCTTTGTCTCTTCGGTTTCATCTACTTTCTTTTTTCACAGAGAGTTTTCCTGTCAAACATCATCCCAAAAAGGGTCCACCATCTTGAGCGAAAAGGAAACCAACAGGACACCACCTACTTTGGGTTCCCCTGTGACAAAAGCCCAATACAGACGGTTTTTCTCGGCTGGCTCGGGTTCGGCTTTTTTGTTTGTTTGTTTTCGAATCAGGCAACCCGCAATTGATGGTCTCCCCTGGAAGACCTCCAAACCACCAATCCAAATAGCTACGAATTGTAACGGCCCCAGCCTCCATGATATCAAGATTCACCACCAAATCACCCATTTGTCTAGAAAACGGTTTGGATGTGACTTTTGTGGAATCCACCCCCTGTGGAATACTAAAAGATTACTAAAAAGGACCAACAGGGGCAAGAACAGGCGATATTCATAGAGATTCACCACCAAATCGCCGTTTTCCAGATTTTTAGGGAGTCCTTTGTTGGTTTTCTCCCAGCTTTTTTTGTTTTTGCGTGTTTGTTTTCTTTGCTCTGTCCCTGCAACACAAAACAAACAAAGCCGTTTTCTGGACTTGTTGGGGAGGTGCTTTTTTTGTTGACCCCCAGTTTTTGTTTTGTTTTTTGCGCTTTTTTTGGCTCAATCTCTGGAGAAAAAGGGCACACTTCTTTTTGAAAACAACCAACACTCGCCGTTATTTTTCGTTTTTGTTTTTTTTTTGCCAAAGACACTCGCCGTTATTTTTTTGGTTGTTTGCGGGGAAGCGGAAGCGGTCCCAGAGGAACGGCATGCTGGGCGAGGGCTACTCCTCGAAGCTCAGCCCCTGGCTGGCCATCGGCTGCATCTCCCCGCGACGGGTCTGGGCGGAGGCGCGAAGGGAAATTCGATGGGCGCCTCTGCCGGGCTTGGCGAAGGGCGCGGGTGGTGAAGGCGACTCTGAACCGACTGGGTTTTTCATGGTTCTGAAGTTGCGAGATGTTTTTTTTTTTCTCTCTCTCTCTCTCTCTCTTTTGCCTTTTTTTTCCCCGCTGTTTTTTGGTTGTTGTTTTTGGTTCTGTTCATTGTTAGGGTTGGAGAGTTTTTTTTTTTTTTGCAAGCCCATACCAAGGGTTGTGTGGAAGAATCTGAAAGCGAGTCTCACTCCCTCAGTTCATGGACTTTGGTCACTTTTGGGGCTTGGACCAATCTAGTCACGAACAAACAGCTCGGTTGCTTTTTTTGGGCCGTCCACTCAGGAAGTGAGAAGTAGTGTCTTCAAACAGGGGAACCATTCAAAATGGGTGGTTTCTCTTTGGTTCCCCATTCAGATAGACACAAAAAGGGTACCCTGAGAGAAAGATCAACTCCAAGTGGGTATGGGTCAAAATTAAACCACCAGGAGACCACAGGTTTTGGTCCATGTCTCCACTTGCCAGGGCAAGCCATTTGGGGGTTACCCTATTTTTGACCCAAAGCCAAGTGTTTCATCGTTGGCATCTTTGCGCAAACATAGGGCAGAAGGAAACTTGAGGGCACCAAAGCCAGGTTTGGCGTTGGAAAGACAGAGCTCCCAAACGATGAGGCCGACAGTTGAAATCAGTCTGTGTCGCAAGTGCGGCTTCCAACTCCTCTATGCGAGGTGTCGAAAGGTCATGGTAGAACTTTTTGGGGGATTTCGGAGACCCTCAAACTTGCGGTTCAAAGAAAAACTGGTTGGAGGAAGGAAAGCAAGAAGCACAACCGGGCGTTGCAAAATCGTTTGATTGTTTGTTTGTTTGGTTGGTTGGTTGATTGGTTATTGTTTGTTTTGTTTGGTTTTAGTTTGTTGTCTTGTGCTGTCATGTACGTCTCTCCCAGTCCGCCAGCCCGTCCCTCCGTCCGTCCATCTGTCAAACTGAACCCCACTCACGACACCAACCGGGTCCCTGCTTCTTGTAGCGGGCAAATGGAACCCCCTCCTTTGCACCAGCAAACCACCGAACTTCGGCTCCCAACCACCAAAAAACCGGAAAAAAACCTTCTTAACCACCAAGCCCCGGGCTCCAAGCCACCATAGGTGTCCTTTTCAGGTGAGCCTGGTTAAAAATAGATGGGTTCCACTGGTTTAGATTGGTTTCGTTCTATTTACCAGGGCCATCCATGTTTTTCAAGAGGCCACCTATGCAAACCACCCCTTTTCGGTGGGAACCCCAAGCACCCCAAGAAAAACACCTCCAACCTCAGGCCAAGCGCTACGAGGAGCGGCGCATCGAGAACAAGTCCACCTACTGGCGCCTTGGGCTGGTTGACGCCGACATCCCGGGGTCCCAAGGCTCCCCTGTTTTTGTTTTTGGAAGACGAGGGGGGGGGGGCAACCCCAAGGTAGCACTGGGTCCCCCAGCAATTGGCGCCCTTTCTCTCCCCCCGTATTTTTTTTTTTTGGGGGGGGGTTCCCCTACGAAAATAGACTACAGAAAAAAGTTGGCACCCTTACTCTAACCTCTCTACTGGAGGACCCAGGTAGGCTGCAGCCCAGGGGTGTCATGTTTTTGGGGGAAGTCAACCACCCCTGGGTTTAAGTCCGCTTTTGGGGTTGTCAAACAAATAATAACCCTGACGACCTCAGTTTGTTGTGCTTTGCAGGAAACCAAAAGGACACCACTGTCATTTCGGGGGGTACCCATCAAGACAAACCCAAAGGTGCTTAAACCACCAGTCGCTCAGTTGGTCCCAAGTCGCAGTCATTTGGGCGAACCCCTGGCACCGCCGCCGATTTTTGTTTTTTGGTGAGCGATTCCACGGATCCTATGGGTTAAAACGAGCTCGCTGGTAAATCTCTTGTTTCAGTCTTTTGAACCAGCCTTTAGAAAGCTGGTTCGGATTGGTCTGGATTTGGTTTTGAACTTTTGGCTTCTGTTTGTAGAGGGTTAGGTTGGGAAGCTACTCAAGCTCCGCACCTGACCACTAAACCAAAGGGCTGCGCAACTGCAATCCGGCCGTTCCCTTGAACTGGCTACCGAACCTGCACAGGAGCCGGTTCCTGAGAATTGTCCTAAGGGGAACGGTTCCTGGCAGGTTTCCCCGATTTACTCACCAGAGGATGGGATTGGGGGGGGGGGGGTAAGTTTCTGGAAGATTATTTATGGTTCCATTTTCTCTTGGGAGGACAAGATCTCCTACTTCCCCACCCCCCCAAAGTCACAGAACATAGGAGCCTAAGCCTGATACGCAACGCTGAACTCCAGCCTCAGACCGCACAGTTCTTGGATCAAGCTGTTTTCCTTTTTTGGGTCCCCACCCCGTTTTGTGGGATTGTTCCCCCCCCCCCCCCTGTTTCACCCGCTTTGGGGAGGTCTCCTTTTTTCCCCAACAGCTGAAAGCTTTGGGGTCTCAGCCCAGATAGGCTCCGGGGTGGTCCGGGGCGGCCCTGAGGTAAGGTTCCACCAGGGTTCCACCAGGGTTCCACGAGGTTCTGCGAGGGCTGCGGGGTGGAGCGAGCACTAAAAAGAGCACCGCATGCTGTTGGGGGTATCACCTGAGCTTGTTTTTTAAGAGGACCTCCCCCCCGTTTTGGGGTTGGATTTCTAGGAGCCAAAACTGCCCCAGCATGGGACACCAATGAATCCACCCAGTTCCCTGTAAGGTCTACCATTTTTTTTCGTTGGAGATCCACGCGGAAAAGCGTTGTACGTTTTTGTTCTTCTTCTTTTTTCGCATGGTTTTCCTTTTGGGCTACGAGGCAGGGAGTAAAGTGGGCTCGAGGCTGATCTTTGAGCTCACCTGGCGGGACTTCTTCATCTACATGGCCTGGAGCCAAGGATGCTCGGCAGGGGGAGATTTTGTTTTTGGTATTGAGGGGGGGGGTCAGGGCCAGGAAAACACCCCAACTCTTCGGGGGAAGCCGAACATTTTTTGTTTCTTGGGGGGGGGAAACCACACTTTTCGGTGGGGGAAGCCCCGGCCGTGTTTTGGGGCTGCCAGAAGGTCACCTTTAACCCGTTTGGGTGGTTTAGGCGGTGCGCTGGGAAATGAATAGGGAACCCTGCGTGGTGGGATCGGATCGGTGGGATGGATTTGTGGATGGAAAAACCAGTTGTCTCCAAACCAAAGGTCCAAGCTGCGAGGGAACTTGGGATCTCTTTTTGAGAGGGTGCGCTGACTATGCCTTTGGAAGAGAGCCGGACTCGGAGCTATCCAAGTTGACCTAGCGAGCCGGACTCGAAACTGCCAGGGGTGATGGTAGGGGTGATGGTTGCACCAGAATCAAACAAACATCTACCTCGGAGATTTCTAAGTCCTGGTAGTTCTCCAAATTTAGATATGGTAGATGACACCTCCGAGAAATTTGGAGAACCATCTCTGGTGATCTCAGAATCAAAGATCCAAACTTCTCGGAGATCACCTCTACTCGCTCGATTCGAGGAGACAAGATCTTCCATCGAGGCGGAATCATCGGCGACAGGAGCGGTTGAAGACGCTTGGTCATGGGGGCCCCTGCGAAGATTTGGAGCCCGTGGCCGTTTGCCGTCCAAAGAACAACAAACGGCCCCTCGCTAGTGTGCAGGTCGTAATTCCTGGAATTCAGAGGGGTCAGCAAGGATGCGCGTTGGGAGTGTCATTACCCTGCATGCCTTCTCCCTCATTTTGGTTGCTCAAACATGCCCAAGATTCCGCTCCTTTACCCGTCCGGTGGGCCTGGATCAATCCCAATACTTAGCGTGTCTGCAACCACTCCAAGCTACTGACTTTGGTGAACCCATCCAGAGGATCATTTAGAGGATGCTACTTTTATGGAAAAGTTTCATCAATGATCTTGGACACGGCGTATCAAGTACGAAAGGCCTCCGAAAATCAGACGGAGCCAAGGATATAATTGGGCGAGCGAAAAAAGCAAGTTCGATTTGCTACGGGAGGATGCCTTGCAAATCATATGGCCTTTGGACGTTCAATCAGCTTCCCAGTTGTGGATTGGTGAGGTTCGGGGGGTAAACGGCTTGCGCCGTTTACCCATGACAAGAACCAGGGGTTCAAAGCCCCAAAGGAATGTTAACAATAAACCCCTGGTTAATTTTGATCGGGGGGTGTCCCCTTTTAGTGGTTGGATTCAGACCACTTTTGGAGGGAAAACACCTTCCTATGAAAATCAACGAATCAACCAGGGGTTTATTCATCCGGACCACTTTCCTATGAAAATCAACCAGGGGTTGACTAATCCGGGGTGAACATTATCGCCGCCCATTTGGCGTCCCGCTTTGGGCCCTGAGCCACGCAGGACGCCATGGAAAGGCTCCAGGGACAAGTTGGAGAGGCGCGGTGAGAGAGACGTCGAGCGCGACTTTTTGCGCGTGTTCAAAACATGGTTTCAACCAAAAGGGGGGGGGGAGGTTGAGCCCAAGCAAGTGGGCAGACTCGGTTTGGAGGACTGCTGTCCACTTTGCGGTTTGGAGGGTACCACTACCCATAGCTTTGAGCCCAAAGCAGTGCGCCTGCGAAGCGCTGGCACTTCTGGGCAAAGACTCGTGAACCTGAAGCTGGGAGCGCCCAAAACCTTCTTGGACATCTTAGGTTCCAGTTTCTTTTTCTTAAAAAAAAAGAATAGTATTTTATTGTAAGGCCCATGTGGTGTCTCAAAGTAGGGGACCCCCCAAGTGATGGCTTGCCCGTCCCGTGAAACCAACCACAGGGGTTTCCTCAGAAAGGCTGGCCGAGGTAACTAGTAAGCCATGCGATTTGTCTTGGTGGACCGCTGTTCAGATGAAAAGGAAACCGTTGACTCGAAGCAGATCCACAGAATCCACAGATCGGGGACTTTTTGGGGCCCTGGTTGCCTGCAACCGTGGCTAAGCCACTAACCAGCCCGAAATCCAACCCCAAGCCAGCCCAACTACCATGGCACCTACCCCTGTTGTCATCCTCGGTGCTAAAACTGCTGGGCTCTGGCTATCTGGCGATGCTGATGAGGTGGAAGGAGGGCAAGACGGGGGATCCGCTGGTGGACGCCAACATGCAGGTGGGATGCCAACTGGCCCTCTGTCCAACAATCATGGAAGCGGACGATCGAGGCTTTTGGACCCCCAAAAGGAACATCGTCTTCCAAAAGCCGATTCGTCAGCTTCCATGATTGTGGGAGGGGTACTTCGGTGAGATTTCCGTTCGGTTTAAAGATGCCTAGAGGAAAACCAGCAGGAATAGGTCCATGGTTGGGATCCTACTATTTTGTACTCAAGCTTAAAATGGTCATGAACCCTTAGTAGGGAATTTAGACAACCTGGGTGTTTCTAAAATAGGGACCCCAAAATGGGCCGTTTCCCTCGTTTCCTTTTGGCTTCCCTTTAAGTCACTCAGAAGGGATCCCCCAAAAAACACGGCAACTTTGGTTTTGATCTAAGGGATGCCCCAAACTATCCCAAATTCCCGAAAAAAGTTCCCACAGCTGCGATCGCTTTATTCCAGACATTCTTAACTTGGCGCTTGCCATGCCCACAAGGCCTTTGAAGCCTTTTTTGTTGGTTTGATCTACAATCAGTGGCTCCCTTTTTCCCTTTTTTTTGGGTGGCCGCCCCACTAAAATGGTCTTCCCAAAAAAGGGTTCCCTTTTTTTCCAGGGTCACTGAACAACTGAGTCTAGTTGGGTTTCCGAATAAAATCCACGAGTGAAAGATTCTGGGGGGTCAGAAAACGGACAGCCCAGCTAAGAGTCAGTCACTACTCTTTGTGAACCTACTTGGCGCAGCCATACTCTTAGGTGTTCAAAGCCTTTTAGTTGGTTCAGTGGTTGGGTTTCCGAGTTCAACCCAAAAGTGAACAAACTTTTGGCAGGAGACGTCGCCGCTTTTTTTTTTTTTAATCGACAGGAGCTCAAGGCAACCGGCTGGATGAGCAACCGGGGGCGCCAGAATGTGGCGGCTCGGATCAGACAAATAATATCCACTACGATCGGCGCAGGCGGTTTTATGGCGTGTTTGCGTGTGCCATGTTTTTGTTTTTGAGCTTGGGCGCCCCCAACATGGTGGTTTTCCTTTTGGTTTCCCTTTTGCTCTTCAGCAGTTGCAACCTTTCTTGTGCTGTTTTGACATACTGCTGCTCAAAAGGAAATCCGCACAATGGCACCCTGGCAAGTGGACGCATAGACCAACACCTGCGTAACCGTAGCTCTTGAATTTTGAGCTACATCCATATTGCAGTTTCGGGGACGCATTTTAGAACCGGGTTCTACCGGATTTCATAGGACTGGCTCAGGGTTTCGTGAACTATTGTAAGCACGAGGTTTGTTGGGGCTCTACCTCGTTTCATGGGCTGTTTGTGAGGGGTTTTGGGGGCTCTACCTTGTTTCACGGGGAGTGTTTGGTACTGGGCCGTATGGGTTTGTCTCAAAAATGAGGGGACCCTGAAAAGGGTGTGGGTCAAAAATTTTCAACCACCAGGAATTGGCCCAGGTTTTAGTCCTGGGTTCCATTTACCGATCGGGCAACCCATTTTGGGTCCTCATTTTTGACCCACAGCCGTTGGAGCCAAGGCTCAGGTTTTGGGCACGGACGGTCCCGGTTGCAGCTTCCTCCAGTTGACCTGGCCTCGCTCGGCATACGCGGGACCTTTGGGATGGGTAATTTGAGCTCACTCCCTAGGTCCCTAGCGGTAAACCTTCAACGTTTCGACGTGTTGTGGCCGATCCACTCGATCGGAAGTGAGTAATTAAGTGGCTAAGTACTCAGAACAGGGTGGCGGTGGGCTACTCTTGTGTTGGGGCTGGGTTTCCATCCACAGAGCGCTCCCTCCACCAATCATGAAAGTGGGTGAATCGGAGGGTTTGAGACTACTTTGCCTGTTTCCTTTTTTTTGGAAGCAGGGCACCCGAGCCATATAGTTTTACATGGGCCATCTTTTTCAAGCCCCATTGGTTGACAAACCTCTGGTTGAATGGTCTCGGGGTACGGCACTTTTTTCTGTTTCATTTCATGGTGCGCACAGAATTCGCGACCATCCACCGTAGGGTATGGGTTTTTGTAGGGGTTGCAACTCCTTCCAACAGGAAAACCCCATTGGATCCTCAAGCAAGCCAGAGGGTATGGTCTGTAGGGATCATTTCCAACCAATCTAACCTAACCCAACCTAACCCTACCTAAATCCTACCTAACCTAACCTAACCTAACCTAACCTAAACCTTGCCTACCCTAAACCCAACCTAACCTAACCTGACCTAACCTAACCTAACCCAAACCTGACCAAACCTAACCTAACATAAACCTAACCTAACCTAACCCAAACCTGACCAAACCTAACCTAACCTAAACCTAACCTAACCTAACCCAAACCTACCCCAACCTAACCTGATCTAGCCTAACCTAAACCTAGCCTAGCCTACCCTAAACCTGACCTAACCTAACCTAACCTAACCTGACCAAACTTGACCAAACCTAACCTAACCTAAACCCAACCTAACCTAACCCAAAACCTACCCCAACCTAACCTAACCTGATCTAGCCAAACCTAAACCTAGCCTAGCCTGCCCTAAACCTGACCTAACCTAACCTAACCTAACCTGACCAAACCTGACCAAACCTAACCTAACCTAAACCCAACCTAAACCTAACCTAACCTAGCCTAACCTAAACCTAGCCTAGCCTACCCTAAACCTGACCTGACCTAACCCAAACCCACCCTAACCTTCCCCAGCCTAAACCTACCCTAAACCTCGCCTGAGAACCCGCCAGCCTGAGGCGAGCTTCTTGATCTTCGACCTGCAGGTGGACTGGCGCTACGGCGCCGCCCACTTCGAGGAGCTGCTCCTGGACTACGACCCCTGCTCCAACTGGGGCAACTGGGCCCCTCGGACAACTGGATCGAAGAGGGTTTATTCGTCACTGGATCGAAGTGGATTTTGCAACCACCCAAACAGGGTGTTTATGGAACCTGTACGCAGGGGCCGGGGTAGGTACAAGGGGGGGTGGGTAGTTTAAAAAGGGTTCCTTTTGGGTCCTTGCGGTTCCGGGAGCCTTAGGGGAGCCTTAGTTTTAGGACTGTAGGTGTCCTTTTGATCGGTCAGTTTGGCTAGAAATAGATGGGTTCCGCCGGTTTAGATGGGCTTTAATAGATTTTATTTTCTAGGGACACCCGAGTTGGGGACTAATTCCTTGAGGCCCGGCGTCCTTGTGGTTTGTGAGTTATCCAACGAGGGGGAGCCCTAGGTGTGGTGGTCCGTGGATTTTTGCGTTCTTTCTTCCTTTTTTTTTGGTTGGGGGGGGGGGGCTTGTTTTAAAGGGATCATTCCAGGAAGCTCACAGCTGGTTCTCAGTTGGAATGAGTAGACCCCTACATACCCTACTGTGGATGGTTGCGACATCCCTTCACACATCTTCACACCACGAATTGAAACCCCATGCGTGTCTCTTGTTCAACCCGCCCCCAACTGGCAAAACGGTCGGCCCAAAAGGAGCGGGAGGTGCACAGGCGCTGAGCTCTGCTTGTTTGGGTGTGTCAATTTTCGAGTCGGTACCAGGAGAAGCTTGAATCCCTCTATGTTTCAAAACAAATAGGTGACTGCCCCTCCCCAAGCTTCTTGAACTGGTTGCGCTCTGAGAGTATGGCCAATTGAGATCCTGCCCCAAACTTGCGCCCGTGACAGAAAAACAAGCGCAAACGCCAGGCGGCGCCTTCCGAACCTTCTATGCCCCCGCTAAAAAAGACATCGGTCAGGAGACCACAAAAGGGGTTGCCTTCAAACTACAAGGCAAGCGCCCCCGGAACCCGAAACCACCTTTTGCGATCTTTTGTAGAGGAATCTCTGTTTGGGGAGTCTACCTGGGTGTTTTGCAATTTTGCGACGCGTTCCTTCAATCGCCCGCAGTTGCTCCAAAGAGGCTCAAAGCAAACCTCCTGGGTTTAACCTTGTGACCCTGGCTGGCCACAGACGATGTTCTTTGCAACCCGCCGCTAAAAATGAGAAACACCCGAATCAACCTTACAAAACCGACGCCAGGAGGAAGGGAAGATCAGTCCATGTTCAAGCTTTGCTCCCAAAAATGGGGTGCCCGGAAGATGTAAATCCCCACGCTTTTGGGGTGACCAGTAAAAATGGGGTCCCAAAAATGGGGTGACCCGTAAATCCCCCCCCCCCCATGGAGCTCTGAGCCTGCGGTTCGGTTCCGCGCTGCGCTGGGACTCCGGCCACGGATGCGTCCGTTTGCTGAATGCCACACAAGTTTGGTCATGTCTTCCAGGGCACGAACAAAACACATGGAAGGCTAGATGTTTTGGACGGCACAATCAATCCCGGGTGGTGTTCAGCACACGGAAGGCTCAAGGCTAGATGTTTTGGAAGGCTCAGGTGAGCCACCATCAAAGCCCGGGTAGATGAAGGTTAGGGAGAGTCCCAACCACAGGTGTAGCCGCCTTTCTAGTTCCTCACATTATGGGCTTGGTTCTGGGTAGACCATTTTGAGCAGGTTTGAATTTGGACTCCCATCAACTTCAGCTTATCGTTTTGCGTGGAACACTTGCAGGGTCGAAATCGGACATCATCGCAACGTGGGACATCGGCGAATTGAGGGGTAGCCCTTCACAACTCAAGCATGCGAACAAGGAAATCCCTGGTTTGTTTGAGAGACACGTAGATTTTGAGTGAAATGGTTGATCGGTGAATGACCCCAACTCAATCCAAAGATGCGAGGCGGCCAAGTAAGCCGTCCCTTAAATAAATCAATAAATAAATAAATAAAATAAGTTAAATAAATACATACATACATATATATATATATACACATATCTCATGGTTGACTTGTAAGTCGACCACCCAAAATTTGGCGATATGTTTTGCGATCCGGCGAACGTGTCTCACATTTCGGGGCTTGGGAAGGGGATTTTTCCATCTGAGGTGGCCGCAGCGGGCCTCACGGGCCAGCGCGTGAACAAGTTCAACACCAAGCGCCCCCGGCGGCGATTTTTTCTCATCGGAGTGGAGGTGTTCCCCGTCGGACACCACGAAAAACGGCGGTTGGGAGCCGGGCGGGAACCGGAGTTTGGACTGGATTTTGTGGTCGCGGGGAAGTCGGAAGCAGCCCCTGGGGTTCAAAGCATCAAAGGCCACCAAGTGCGAAGCTGGACTCCGGTGGCGACTTGAGCCACAATCAAAACCCGGGTAGATGAAGGTTAGTAAGGGACGATCCCCTTGCCATAAATAGCTGCGGGTATCCGCCTTCTTAATCCTTTACATGGTTCTGGGTTCACCATTTTTGTACCGGGTTTTGATTGCGACTCACTTGCTGTTTTGCTGGTCAGCAAGGAGTCGTCCAAAGAGGGTCTTGGGAACGAACCGCCCGTGGGATGCTTTGCGCGGTTCCATCTCATTCCCTGAGAAGCGTCGTGATTTTCCACACGGTTTTGTGTTGTTCAGGGTTGTTCCTTTGGCCGAGAGATGATCAAATCTCTGCTTGGTAACCTGGTAGAAAGTTGGGGTACACGACCCAGGGGTCATAGAGAGCTTTCTTGTTGTTGCTTGTTTTTTGTTCTCTGGGGGCGGGGGAGCTAGGGGGTGGCGGTTTTGGGGTGTTCTTGAACGGCCTGGGCATGAGGAAAACTAGCTTGCTAGGTGGAGTCCTTCTTGCTTTACCCGTGGTTCCCGCTGTTTTCCGCTTCCGGGATGCCACTTCCTACATTTTTTTCCGCCTTTCGCCTCACTGATGGTTTGGTTTGGTGGCTTGGTCAGGATCCCTTTCCGTTGGGTTTCAAAAGAAACGGTCGAATCCCAAACGCGCCACCGCCACTGAAGGGTTACCTGATCTACCTAGGGTTGAAAGGGAGTCGCCCGAGCGAACTCATCGCAGCCCTCGCCAGGAAGCAGCTCTCCGACTATGCCGCCTGGCTTGAGTCATCGCCATGTTGGTTTCGACCCCGGACGTGGTGTTCAACCCACGGGTCAAAATGAAGCCACCAAGGGACCGCGCATGTTTGCCATTGTTTCCGGATTTATTAGGGCTCCATTTTGGGTACGTATTTTTGATTTACAGCCATATGGGCCGCTTGCTCAAAACCCAGAAATAGCCGCGGATATCCGCCTTGTTAATTCTTGAAGCATGGTTCTGGGTAGACCATTTTAGTATTTGGTTTTGATTATGACTCATATAGGGGTGGGGGGCTCCCCCAAAGTTTTGCCCCCCACTAAATCCAGGGACACCCCCCAAATATGAATGAGGTGTATATCCTGGGGTGACAGTAGAACCAAAAGTCGTAGCATGAGAGTGGGCCCGCACTTGTGAATGGGGAAGTGACCCTTACAGCAATCAAAGGACCAACCCAGGAACAAGAGCCTCGCCTGGTGCAACACGAGGATGTGTTGAGTGTACACCTTCTTTCCAACCATCATGGAAGTTGACGATCGGGTTTTGGAAGACTACCATCATTTCAAAAGGGCCTTTTTGTCCGCAGGGTTTGTTTTTGTTTGAGGGTAGCCCTTTTTTTGTGCGGTTTGAAAAGGGGATCAAAAGGAAATCACTGCTTTGGGACTTTGCAAAAAAAAGACATGCGTTTGATGCCAGAGCTCCTTCCCCGTGGATCCGAAAGAGCCACGCACCAACCGTTCGGTCAGAGAGCCGGAGGACCCGCGGCGGGAGTACGTGAATCACTGGCTGGGCAGAAGCAAGGCTGTACTGCGCCCTCGGGAGGATGAGGAGAGATGGGGTTGGGCAAAAAAAGTTTGGGGCTTGAGTTTGGTTTTTCAGGCGAAGGGTTCTTATGTTGGAGTCAACCAAGCCGAAGACGTGGGGCTGGGGCGAGGATCAAGGTTCTCTTGGGCGAGGATCAAGGCACACTTCTTGCTCGCCACGTTTGGGTGTCCGATTTTTTTTGGTTTAAGACACATTTGTGCAAAAAGAGAGTTAAGGGCCAAGCCTGGCCCTTGCGAAACCAGGTTGTTCGAAGGGTGTCTTCCACTTTCTGACGTGGAGATTTCTTATTCTCCCTGTTGGTTTGAAAGGGGTACTACTTCCAGCAAACGAAAACGCACATGGAAGGTGTGGTGTCTCTCATGTTTGAACTTGGAGACAATCGTTTGAAAAGTTCGTCCGGTCTGGAGGGTTGGGTTGCCAGTTTTCGACTCCGGGTGGATGAGAGAAAGGAAGGAACTGACCAGTAGGGTCCATTTTTTAAAATAAAACATGTGCTACTTTCAAGGCCCTGTATATTTTGGTTTCCGATTTTGTTTGCGATCTGCCTTTGGTGATTGCGACAGAACAACACAAAAGAAGGACGGGAATCTCATGTTAGTTGTGCCTGGCACGGCAAGCGCACATGACAAGGCATGTCT